AGCCTTCTCTTCTCCAGGCTGAACACCCTCACCTCTCTCAGCCTGTCCTCATAGGAGAGGTGTTCCATTCCTCTGACCACTTTTGTGGCCTCCTTTGGACCTGCTTCAACAGCTCCGTGTCTTTCTCGTGCTGGGGACCCCAGGGCTGGACGCAGTAGTCTGGATGAGGTCTCACCAGAGCGGAGTACGGGGGCAGAATTACCTCCCTCAACCTGCTGGCCATGCTGCCTGTTGTGTAGCCCAGGATGTGGTTGGCCTTCTGGGCTGTGAGCACACATTGCCGTCTCATGTCCAGTTTCCCCAGGTCCTTCTCCTCAGGGCTGCTCTCAATCTGTCTGTCATCCAACTATCTGACCCTATTTGATGCTGATTTGTTTTTTCTAGTTGTGGGAAAGTTAGGCTAAGTGTTTTATTGGTTTTTAACTGTACTTGGAGAAACACGCACTATCAAAACAGATATATTTTCAGCTATGACATAATTACCTAGTAAAGATTATTTTGAAATGAATACCTCTTCCTTTTGCATGCAGTGAGGCTTTTTCTCTAGCATAAATATTAATCCTAAAACATTTCACTGCTGGGTTTACAGTTAGTCACCACAATTTCAAAATACTCTGTGCATGTTGGGGCCTATTTATTCAGGTATTCCAGAGACATAGCATCTTATATAATCTTTTATACGAAGTGTCTTAAAGAGTAAATTTCATCCCTGCACATCTTGATATTATTAAGTTTTAGCTCTTCTATTGTAAGTGCGGTAACTAAGTCCTTCATATGGATTATTAGAGCATGAATTAGTAGATCAGAATCCTGTTTAGTCTTAGAATCATAGGATCACAGAATCTTTGGGTTGGAAGGGACCTTTTAAGGTCATCTAGTCCAATGCCCCTGCCATGAGCATCTTTACAACTTCATCTAAATCACGTTGCTCAGAGCCCTGTCCAACCGGACCTGGAATTTTTCCAGGGATGGGGCATCTACCACCTCTCTGGGCAACTTGTGCCAGTGGTTCACCACCCTCAGTGTGAAAAATTTCTTCCTTATATTGAGTTTAAATCTGCCCTCTTTTAGTTTAAAACCATTACCCCTTGTCCTATCACAACAGGCCCTGCTAAAAAGTCTGCCCCCATCTTTCTTATAAGCCCCCTTTAAGTACTGGAAGGCTGCAAGAAGGTCTCCTGGGAGCCTTCTCAACCCCAACTGTCTCAGCCCACACCTCAGGAGAGGTGTTCCATCCCTCGGATCATTTTTGTGGCCCTCCCCTGGACCTGCTCCAACAGCTCCATGTCTTTCTTGTTAACTTCTTAAAGCAGTAGTAATTTTCAGTGCTATCAGTTGGGTCAGAGGAATCATTAAAGGTCTTGCAAAGCCAATTGTAATAGTTTGTTTTACCTTTCAGAAATACAAACCAACCCACATATTATATAGAAAGAGGATATTGTGATATTTCTCCAAAATGATCAAAAGAATGTATTTTGCTTCACAAAGTCCATTATATGTTCTTCCTCAAGTCAGAGAGGGTTCCTTCAAATGTTGAATAAATTGCTTTAGTTATGGCACATCTGAAATATACCCGGTCAGGATTGTGGGGATGATATGCAAAAGCAGAACAATATTGAACATCAGTTCTCCTCTTTGTCTCGAACTTATTTCCCAGTCCCTAATTCCTCCCACCAATTTCATAAGGGAGAAAAAGAATTCCTCCAGGATATGAATTAAAGTCCTGTGAGTCTGAATATTTGGATGGCTCAGGTAAAATCTGTCACATGGTATTTATTCGCCTCTGGTTATAATGAGTTTCTGATGGGTGATTATATTCCTATTTTCAGGGCAAGTTATTTTGTCTTTTTCTCTGAACTATTTTTATTATGTGTCAAGTGTCAAGTGTAGGGACTCTGTGGAAAGTGTAATTCCACTTTTGCTAATTTTTGCACTATAAATTATTTATTTTCTTTAATCTCTTTCTTTTCCCCTTGCAACTGTCTAGTGTACTGTATATCTTGTTTCTTTAAGCTCTTGTTCCTGCATAGGAACTCAAAGCAAATGGAGACTTCCTCACCGCTGCTGACTACTCCTAGCTCTCACAGCTTTCATTGGCATGCCCACATAAATCCTTCGTATGCATACATTTACATGTGACAGCACAGTATCAGTTGTCACGCAACACTATCTACCTGTAGGTAAAATCAAAATGAATGTTTTATTTTTGTAAACACCCATGAACCATATCTTTGATGTATATATCATCTTCCAGGAGTGCACTGTATCAGCAATCAACCACTACTTTCTAATTACATGTAAACATATATTTTTAGTTATGACAAAACCTTGATTATGGCTGATTATTTTTAGGAAGTGGTACAGGCAAGAGTGAAAGCCTAGCAGAGGACAGCTGTTTAGAATAATGGCAATGTCTGTTTAATATATCTCTTCTGAAAGATACAAGCTAAGCTTAGATATAATTTCCCCCATTCAAGAACCATGAAGAGGTAAACACAAGAGATTCCAGCAAGTATTTTCTTTAGGGCTTACAATGAAGCAATAATAGACCTTCCCCAGGCTTATCATAAAAACAAAGAAACAAAAAAAAAAAACCAAGATCATCCTAATGAGATCATAATATATCCTGTCCGTAAATCACTGTGCTCTTCTTCTACCATAAGCATTTCTGTGATGCCCAATTTCATTGATCCAAGTTAATTGCTGGTTTAACTTCCAATAAATGGGGAGGCAATGATCTTTTTATTTGTTCCTGTGGTTTCAAGAGAGAGGAGCTTTTAGCAATAACCTCCCAGTTGCAGTCACTCAATTTTTTCCGGGGGTCTTGAGGAACTCTTTGTAGATACTAAGAAACTGAATAACGTTTGTGCCTTGTTGTGTTTAACCCAACATCTGCCTGACAGATATGAAATAGACCCCTTGTGAGTCATAAGTCATTCTGAAGTGTCAGCTGGAGTCATGTGGGATTCCCTTCAGCATCCAGCACCAGATGACAATTTGTGAGCAGTGGAATGGAGCCCTAAATCTCCATGGCTGTAATGGGAATATAGCAACCTACCTTTTTTGTAGATACCTACTTGCGAACATCTACATTTAAGTCTTGTTAATTTGGAGCTGAACATATACAACACTTACAATTTTGAAAAGCAAGAATGAAAGACAAACTGGTAAAATACAGTGCATTAACAATAAGGATGTGATACCTCTGTTCCAGGGGTACAAAACTGTGCAATAGATATGTACTTTTATTTTACTTAGAGTGAGATTAACAGAATATAATCCTTAGACTGTGCAACCTCTAGTAGCCCAGACTGCACACTGCTACCATCTTGGAGGAAGGATTGGGAAACATCTTGCAAAGGACTACAATTGCTCAGCTGCTGTGTATAGATCTGGAAGGGAATTCTTTCTAATGTGTCTCCTTTGCTGTCTCCTGCCTGCCTCAAGCCCTGTTGATCTGCTCTGGAAAACAAAGAAAACAATTTAGTAACAACTTTTGTACTTGCCTTTCATTGCATTGCATAAGGAGACTGGAGCAGATGAATTACTATTTTCCTCACAGTGTTTATTGAAATTTTTGATGAATCAAAACCTCCTAATAATAAAAATACATATTATCTTTTCCAAACTAGGATCTCAATAGAGATTTTTTTAAAATGCCTGAAGGAAGTGGAGGAAAAGGCAGTGGGTTACAGCAACTTGCATTGTTAATTGAGAAAAGCTGACAAAAAACTACAGTTCTTTGACTAATAAGCTGTTCAACCTCTAACTTAACTGCAGAAGGAAATATTTTTTGTGTACCTTGTTCTTTGAAGTAAAATTTTTCTCTTCCCTCTTCCCTCCTTTCCTTTTTTTTTTTTCCCCCAGGTAGAAGATATAGCCAGGAGAAAATCATCCTGTTAAAAGGACTTATTTTTGCAAAGTCCTTGCACAAAGTATACAGAGTAAAAACAGAGGCGTTAAATGCTTTATTGTATGTTAGACTACAGAGTTCTTTTACAGGTGCAGTGTTTCAGTATTAATTCTAGTTTAGAACTGACTAGTTCAGAATCAAAACCATGATTATTATCTACTAGCTGTTGAGAATTTCTCTCATATGGATTTTGTTTTTCCTTTTAGGCTCTGAATTCTAATTTATACATTAGTAAGTGTTGGAAAAGCATTTTATATTAATGTTTTTCTAATAGCATATGAGATTGAATCAAAGTCTTAGTAGGAAAGCTCACCACTGAACTGTGCAATCTGTGCCTGCCACAGATAAGTCAGGGTATTTGAGCAGTGCTAGGAAGATATAAATGCTAATAACTGTTCCAACTTTTAACATGTTCTTCCTGCCCAAGCTAAAGAAACAGCTAAGATGGGCTGTATTTCGTTGTCCACACACAAGCATTGACTGACGCCTGGGTTGTGTAGGATATCAGAGACATTTGCATGGACATAACAGATGTGTACATGCCTTGTGGAAGACCTAAGTCATGCTGGAGTGTAGGTGAGACAACTAGTGCATCTCAAAGAGGCCTAGGTACCTTAAATGGGCAACTGAACCAATCTCTAAGTGACATAATTCCTACCACTATCAAACTTAAAAGGAGTAAGGGTCTTGTAGTCTACTGAGCAGCAGCAACTGGGTGTGAGCGTACTCTTAAACTGTGGGAAACATGAGGTACTGGAACTTAAGAAATTAAGGATGAAGTGGCATTATGCATTTGGTGCAAACTACCTTGTAGTATATCACCTCATGCTTGCCACAGTTTTAAGGAACACATACACATGAATGTTATGCTTTGACTTGGTAAATTGCAACAACTTGATTATACCTTTTGGTTTACACATTGTTTTGGTGATTTTACAAGTTCTGTATCAACAGAGACTGTTTGTACTTGTTTCAACATCAGTTTTTAAGTATGAGTTTTAAATATTTACATATATTGCAAGTATGTATTTGGTGCACTGTAGCCCCAAAATACATTATTGATTTAATCTTTCTTTTCATATTGCAGAGACAAAGTATTAGAATGGCATAAAATATGGCCCAGTTCTACTACAAAAGAAGTGTCAATGCTCCCTACAGAGATCGTATCCCTCTTCGTATTGTACGGGCAGAATCTGAACTGTCTCATTCAGAGAAAGCCTATCTGAACGCCGTGGAGAAAGGAGATTATGCGAGTGTAAAGAAAGCTTTGGAGGAAGCAGAAATTTATTTCAAGATCAATATTAATTGCATTGATCCCCTGGGAAGAACTGCACTCCTTATTGCAATTGAAAATGAGAACCTTGAGCTCATTGAGCTGCTCTTAAGTTTTAATGTATATGTGGGAGACGCTCTGTTGCATGCCATACGAAAGGAGGTAGTTGGTGCCGTGGAGCTGCTGTTAAACCACAAGAAGCCCAGTGGGGAGAAACAGGTATGTGCAGGATTTTCTCTAGGTTTGTAGTCTGCTCTAATGAAAATAGAAGAATTGTGCAAAGGGACTAAGCTAAAAGAAAAAAACAAAACACAACCATCATCGTTGCACAGAAGTAAAAAAAATCAATGACGTTGATGCTGTATGCATTGTATTCATTTGTGTTTACACATCATAGAATCATAGAATAGTTTGGGTTGGAAGGGACCTTTAAAGATCATCTAGTCCAACCCCCCTGGAATGAGCAGGGGCATCTTCAACTAGATCAGGTTGTTCAAAGCCCCGTCCAACCTGACCTTGAACACTTCTAGGGATAGGGCATCCGCTACTTCTTTGGGCAAGCCGCTCCAGTGTCTCACCACCCTCATTGTAAAAGATGTCGTCCTTATGTCCAGTCTAAACCTACCCTCTTCCAGTGTAAAACTGCTGCCCCTTGTCCTGTCACTACAGGCCTTGGTAAAAAGTGTCTCTCTGCCTTTCTTATAAGCCCCCTCTGTATAATGAGAGGCCTCCATAAGGTCTCGCCAGAGCCTTCTCTTCTCCAGGCTGAACACCCTCACCTCTCTCAGCCTGTCCTCATAGGAGAGGTGTTCCATTCCTCTGACCACTTTTGTGGCCCTCCTCTGGATCTGCTCCAGTAGGTCTATGTCTTTCCTGTGCTGACAGCTCCAGAGCTGGATGCAGGACTCCAGGTGGGGTCTCACCAGAGCGGATTAGAGGGGCAGAATCACCTCCCTCGACCTGCTGGCCATGCTTCTTGTTGTGTAGCCCAGGATGTGGTTGGCCTTCTGGGCTGTGAGCACACATTGCCAGCTTATGTCCAACTTTTCATCCATTAATATCCTCAAGGCCTTCTTGCCAGGGGTGCTCTTGATCACTTCATCCCCCAGTCTCTATTGATACTGGGGATTTCCCCAGGTGCAGGGCCTTTCACTTGGCCTTGTTGAACTTCATGAGGTTCAGAAGGTGCCCACTTCTCAAGCCTGTCAAGGTCATCTCTGTCATTCAAGCAAATCTGCAAAGGTCCACAAGGCTTACCAGTTTAATGTAGTTAAGTCACATGAGAATACCCAATAAGAAAGGGTAAAAACATCCTGCATCCTTCTTACCCCCAGCCTGAATCACAAGGTTTTCCACTTACAGCTGAGTGAATTGTTAACTGCCTTCTATATAAAGCCAGAATTGGACTCACATTTAACCGTTCATCCATAAAAACCCTTTCTTGGAAGACTGTGCAGTAAGAAAAGACAAACTTCTTCAAGTCAGAGCTTTGCATCCATTATAAACTTACTCAGGAAAGTATGGAAGTTGATCAAACAGTTGGGCTTTGCTTGTGAGACCTCTGACATGGTAACATTATTCTTGCAGTTATTAGTGGGAAATCCTTAATCATTCAAAGATGCTACTATTCCAAAGGGAATAGTAGTCATAAGATGTGGTCCATTTGAATTAGTTATGAAACTCCCTTTAAAGTCAGTGAAGGTTTCAGCTCCTCCATGTGAAGGTCACCGACTCCTCTGGAGGTCACCTTCTCCTCCACCATTACCATCTCCCAACTCAGCAAGGCAACACTGGGAGACATAACCCAATTGATCAGAACTTAAGCACTGTCTCCAGTAGTTGTTGATCTTACCAAGTACAGCTAAAAAGGTACAAACTCCTCTCCCTTTCTCCCTGTCTTCTCTCAAAGAAAGAAATCATTACATACAGTCTCATTCATGATGAATGTGATACCTACTCTGCTTCCCCTTGCACTGCCTTGAGACATCTCTAGCTAGCCTCTTGCATATCCTTCTCATTTTAAGAAACTAGTGGAGACAGGGTAACGTAGCCCATAAATTCTGATATTCCTAGGACTCTTTCAGGAAGAAAAACCTTAAAAATAGTTATAATATTGTATTATATTTTTATCTATTTCAATTTTCATGTATTATAGGTACTGTATTAAAGTATTTCAATGAATAATATGTTGAAATGATTACAGCCCTTTCACAGATGATGCATACAATATACTTTAATTATGGTATAATGTACTTGCTATGGATAGAATTGCAGATAATAGGTAAAGAGTATAATTTTTGCTGATACAATAACATGAATTCTATGCTTTTTTTGTTATGGAAAGAAAGAAATATAGTAGGTCTTTGTACAAATGTGTGTGTCTGCCTTCTCTTCTAGACAGTAAAAGCAGAGCTCCTTTATAATGACAACAGATTTATGTCAAAAAAAAGGGAAGAAAACTAGATTTACTTTGTTTGGCTCATTTCATTATTTCTCAACTGATACTGCAGATCAGAATACAATGTATGGGAATTTCTCAATGCAGTGTACTAGGACGCAGAAGGCTCAGTGCACAGCCCTGTGCCAAGCCAGTTGAACCACCTGTGTCTCCATTCTCCAGCCTCTATAGTGGAAGTTGCCATTTGCAGAGCAGAGTTCATCTGACTTCATGGCAGCCGTCCAAAACTGTGTCTCATCTGGCTGCCTGGGCTCCCTCTACCAATGGAGAAAAATGGAGATCCCTGGAGAGCAACTCATGCTGTCTTTCTCAATTACTTGTCTTAAGACAGCATAAACCACTTTTTGGACCAGCTGGAGAGAGGGTGTACAAATTTGCCTTACACTAGGTGCCTAAATTTCAGGCTGTTCTTTAGATGTTCAGGACTACTTTTTGCTATATGCCATAGCATCTGTAATGGAAATGCATGAATATAAATAGCAAAACTTCCTGTAGGTGAGCTTCAATGCTATAACAAATGAAAGATAGGCTTACTTTTTGGGTGCATGCTACCATGTTAAATTAACCACAAACTGCTTTGCTCCAAACTAGAGGTTAGCTCTCTGGGCTGGAGCTTAAGGACTTTGTTTCAGTGCCAGACTCCATCGCTGGCTGGTATGAAGAGTACTGCTTCTCCATCTCTCCCTTGGTTTCGCTGGTTGCACTTGCTGAAGGTCTTCCCATTACTGCAAAGCATGAAGAATAATCATGAATCATTTGAACAGAGTCATCTCCCTTTGTGTCTGTACAAGGCTAGGCTCGCCCGTTGCAAATGCAAGTATTGCTTGCAAGCCAGTGCTTACAAAAAATGATCTTTAAACAAATAGATTATTTACACGCACATGCCGTTGTTTACATTGGGGACCCCAACAACTATTTCACCTCTGTGGGTGTCGTACGTGTAGATAATCACGTTTGTTCATTTTTAGGAACAGGTCATGCTGAAGAGAATGTAAATGTGAGTTACATTTTTCCAGTAATGTTGCAGCGAAGCAGATACAACTGTGCATATTTAATATAATCAAAAGTACCTGCTGGCTGAAAAATCATTACAATAGGCTAAATATATGAAAACTAAATTCTTAGAATTATATACTACAATTTGTATTTTCAGTGTTTAGACAGAAAAACACTCTTTTTCCCTGGAGAATCAAGTTCCTTTGAAACTCTATTGCAAACTACAACTTGACTTGTTTTGATTACTTTTATTTGTAAACATTTGCCATGTTGTTTAGATTATGATCCATTTTCAGACTCTGCTTTTAACAACATATCTTTGCCAGTTTGGTTTTCCATCTTTATGTAAAGCTGGTCATGTGTAGTAAAATCCTGGCCCCTTGAAGTTAGTGGGAGTTTTGCCATTGATTCAGTGAGGTCAAGATTTTGCTCTTTTTTTTTGCCCCTGATGAAAAGTTATTCACAGAGGAGACAGATTATAAGGAATAAGAAAAATGCATGTGCTAAATACTGCCAAGCTCAAGAAACAGTTTAGATTCCCAAGTATTTCATTAGTGATGAAAGTCATGAGCATTCAAATGCAGAAAAAAACTGATATGACACATAACTTACAAGTAAATGAATTACCTCTCGCTATTTTTTTATATTCACAAAATAATATACTATGTATGTTGCGTAGCTAATTTCAGCTTCACTTTCATGCAACAATGTAACTATATTTGTAAAACAAAAGATTTTTTAAGCATAGTATTTCCTATATATTCAAGAACTCACTGGCAGTTCAGAAAGACAGAAAAAAATGTCCTCTTGTATCAACAGAAAGCTACAATTCTTCAGGAAAGCTGAAATGTATCTTTTGAAAGAACTGATTTTTCTCCAAAATTTAATTCTTTAAACATTTAAATGTTTAAAAAAAGTCAAAAAATGTAAAAGATGTTAGTTCTGACCAAGAATCAATGCATTTAGTTAAAGTAACACATTTTTTCATTTTTTGAATTTTTTTCCAACGAATATCTTAAAAATTAGGAAATGCCACTGAATCTTACTCATTAATACTTCCTCTTCAAAAGAAAAACAAAACAAAGAAGAACAATCAGAACTTGTTAAAGGTGTAAAGGTATATCTAAACTCTCTAGTCTACTGACCACTCAGCTATTGAGCTCCACGTAATATCCATAGGTGATGTGCTTTGCATTTCTAAGACCACATGGGTTACAGTGAGTTTAAGCTGATCAATGTATGGATACATCTGGTGCCACCTGGTGACTACAGATGAGGCATGTGTGTTTAACAGCTTTGAATTGTATTTGACTCCTGTTACTCAGTTTGTGAGTGAGGTTTTTATGGTATACATTCATACAACTAAGGAAAAGTTTAGTTTGTCAACTTGTATTATATTTTCTACACTTTTTTAGGTGTACCACCTGCTAAAGCACGTGTAAAAGAGTGTAACACAAATTAAGGTGAAGGAGTTGAGGAAATTTGTCCAAGTACTTTTAAATTATCAGTTCTTCAAAGCCATATGTCCTGAATTATCTGCCAAGTCACTTGTTGCTTACCCTGATGGATAATTGAATGCCAAATTAAGAGGGGGGGAAAAAGCTGTTCTTTAAAATCTAGTATCTGCAGAAAACATTTTTATCTTGTTAAATTGCATGCAGATGGGATTGGGGTTGGGTAGCATAAAAAATGAGTAGAATACTACTTATCTGAACCACAGTGTGCTCCACTACTTGAGGAATCCAGGCGCTGATCTCTAGCTGGG